TTTATTAACCATAATAGCTCTTTGAGCATTGGATTACTAAAAATTGTTCCTGAAATTCTTGAGCAATTTAGTGCTTGGAAAAGAGACCTCCAGCTTTAAAGATACTACCACTGAATATGAAAATCTAGACTCTGTTGCTAACCATGCAAAGAGGAAAATGTCCTCTGGGTATTTGAATAATTTTATTTATCTAGCATTTGTTCCCTCTGATTATGTATTTTTAGAGCAGACTTTAAAAAAAAGCTTAAATTTAAAGAAAGGAATAAACATTTTCTTTTAAAAGGATGTTAATAATCCCTTGAGCAGGTACTTTTCTTCTTGAAAGCACAGATAGGCATTTCTACAATATACACTTGACATAGTGGTATGTCAAATGCCTGAAATTTAAACTTATTTTATCTAAAGGGTAAAATCAGTCACACTAAGGGAATTTAAAAGTGAAGGTACTTTTGCCTGATAAAAGTCACATTAAGTTTGTGCAGTTTTTGCAAGCGTACGTTTTCATGCTTAACTAAGGTTCCTAAAATGAGACTTAAAATGAGATTAATACAAAAGGAGCATTTCTCATTCTCCCTCTCCTTTTTCTCTAAAAGACTCTACAGTTTAAACATTTGTAACATCATTCTACTCAAGCTGTTCCTTAATGGTGGTTCTGCTTTGGTTTACATGATAATGATTGATTGGTTTATAGGCAACTGTAAAAATACTTTTAGAAATCAAACGCCTATTTCATTAGTTGATTCTTAACACTAAGGCAATCACAGCTATATGTCTGACACATGATTTTCATCACTGAAATTGATATATATGTTTGCGTTCACATACTATGGTAAGAAGACGTACTTTTGTATTTCATCTTTAAAGCACTGAAGTCAATAACCTGAACTCTGGATTAGCATGTTTGAGGTTTTAATGACTGAGAGACTTTTTTATGTCTACAGGCCAAAAAATTATTTTTAAACTAGACACTTGGATAAGAAACAGACCAACTTCTTTAGATAACAGCGATTATTAAGTCACTTGGATTCCTCCTGGTCCAACTGCGGCAGCAGCCATTCCTGAGTAACAACTTCCTCTCTGCCCTTGAGCCCCTCCCAACTCCTCCCAGCGGCTCTAAACTAGACAGATTTTTAAAAACATAAACCAATGCTGTAGGATAAAATTTGTGTCTCATATAATATAAATCTCCCAGAAATGTTGGAAACGGTGGTTCATGAGAAGGCAAATTGTTTTTCATTGGCCTATAGCTTTTAATGTTAAAACTGAAGCAGAGCAATTATATTCTTCATAAAACTACAATTTTGTGACTTCTGACCTCTTTCCCATCCGGTCCCCAAGTAGTCCTCATTCCAATAGTAATAGCGTAGGGAAATAAAAAAAGACCCACATTTACAAGAATTTAGCTTCTGGCAAGCATCATTTTAAAGAATTCACTTCCTGGCTCATGGTTTACATGACCTGTCTTCTCTTGCTTTTTTCTTTCCCTCCACCCTTCCCCCTCTCCTCCTTAGGGCAAGCTGAGTCTTAACTGTTGCATTCACTGCTGCTTCCTGCCTCTTCTGCTTTCTATTTTCACAACCACGGGAATGGAATCTGCTCAGAACTATCAGACCAATATCCCCACACACCACTACTTTCATGCTACACCACTGCCTAAAAAGTATCAGCATAATTAATTCAAAAATATCTCATAAACTACTAGCTGAGTTAACATCTATAATGTCTTCAGTTATTTCTTGTTTTTTTGTTTTTCTAAGTTGTTATTTTAAAGAAACACTTGATTTATGTTAGGATATAATTTTCCTTGGGGGCACAAAATATATAATCCTACTCTTAATTAAGGAGTGATTTTATCTTATTATTTTCAATGCCGGTTTGTGTTTCTTGTATTTCACTATTTTTATATACCACTCCCTCCAAATTCTCACTCGGAAGTCAGATTATGAAGAACCAAGTTTCCATTATCTATTCTATCAGGAAATAGGAGAACCAACTCTGAGGCAAAAATTAAGGGAAAAAATTAAGCTATCACAGTTAAACCTCAGTTTATAAAGTCAGCGTATCCTTGAAACATAAAACACATAAGAGAAAAACACATAAGAGAATTATACTCGTAAATGTGGAAAAGGTTTTTATTTGCCTTATTTTTAGGTAAATAGGATTGTTAAGTAATTTCTCTAGCTTGTGAAAGCTTCCAATTAAAAATAAAATTACACACTTTCTTAAAAAAATAGCTCAAAATGCAAACAGCAACAATTTAGCCTTACAATTATATTAATTATATTTTTATGTTATCTACACTTTTTTTAAAGTTAGAGTTCAAGAACATCTGTTTCCAATAGGGTGGGAGAGAGTTGTTTTTTTTTTTTCCCAAGTGAAAGGAAGTTAACTCTTTCCTGATTCTTTTCATAGGATTCTCTTCTTTTGATCTCTTTCTTATTACCTGCATTATTTTGTTTCTAGATCTGCTACTGTGGAGTTATCTTAAAACTTTTCTGCTCAAATTCTGGAGAAAGAACATATGACTAACTCAGAAAATGGAATTTCCCTGGTGGCTCAGACAATAAAGAATCTGCCTGCAATGTGGGAGACCTGGGTTCGATCCCTGGGTCGGGAAGATCCCCTGGAAAAGGGAAAGGCTACCTACTCCAATATTCTTGCCTGGAAAACTCCATGTACAGAAAACATATGACTGTAATATAGTATGTAATATAGTATGACTGTAATATAGTATATAATATAGAGGACTGTAATATAGTATGACTGTAATAGAGTATGTAATATAGTATGTAATATAGATTACTGTAATAGAGTATTTAATATAGTATGTAATATAGATGGCTGTAATATAGTATGACTGTAATAGAGTATGTAATATAGTATGTAATATAGTATGACTGTAATAGAGTATGTAATATAGATGACTATAATATAGTATGTAATATAGTATGACTGTAATTTAGTATGTAATAGAGTATGACTGCAATTTAGTGTGTAATAGAGTATGACTGTAATATAGTAATATAGATGACTATAATAGAGTATGACTGTAATATAGTATGTAATATAGTATGACTGTAATAGAGTATATAATATAGATGACTGTGATATAGTATGACTGTAATAGAGTATATAATATAGATGACTGTGATATAGTATGACTGTAATAGAGTATGTAATATAGTATGTAATATAGATGACTGTAATAGAGTATGTAATATAGATGAGTGTAATAGAGGATGTAATATAGATGACTGTAATAGAGTATGTAATATAGATGACTGGCTTCCCTAGTGGCTCAGATGGTAAAGCATCTGTCTGCAGTGCAGGAGACCCAGGTTCGATCCCTGGCTTGGGAAGATCCCCTGGAGAAGGAAATGGCAGCCCACTCCAGTATTTTTGCCTGGGAAAACCCATGGACCAGGGACCCTGGTAGGTTACCATCCATGGGGTCACAAAGAGTCGGACACGACTGAGCGACTTCACTTTCACTTTCATAATATAGTATGTAATATAGTATACTCCTGGCTGACTACAGTCCTTGGGATCTCAAAGAGTTGGACACAACCAAGTACTAACAGTTTCACTTTCACTTTAGCAAATTGACACTTAGGCATAGTGTTTTGTATCAGACGGGATTAGCTTTGCTGATCTGTGTGTCTCTTTCTGGTAAAAAATCAGTGGTCACTTCTTCAAGGGATGCCCTATGCTTTCCTTCTTCCGTGACTGTTCCCAGCAGTGTAGTTTCCTTTAAAGAGTCAGGTAGGTAGACGAAGTACTAAAATTCATGCCTTGAGCAATGGAGAGACTGTGGAAGTAAATATATAGTAATTCATTTAAAATATGGCATCACTTATGTATCCTAAGCTGTAACGACTGCCAAAAGTATGGCAATTGAATTAGGATTCTTAGATCATAAGGTAAGTTTTAGTTTCTATAGATATACATACTTCCTTTCAAAAGTAGTTTTAAAAATATAACATGAGACATTTTCCAAATGCTTGCTATCTTTTAAAAGTTGTTTCATATAATGATTAACCATTCATATTCTAGTCTTCTATGAATTACCTAATCATAGTTTTTAAAACATTTTCTGTTCGATTGTTGGCTCTTTTGTGCTGAATTATATATTCTTTAAGATATTTGTGTTACAATACATTTTCTCAATATATGGTCTTACCCTGTTTATACTGTCACTTGTCATAGTAAATTTTTAATACTATTAATAACAGTCATACTATATCACAGTCATATGTTCATAATATGACATAATTTTGTTGTTGTCACATGTTAACATTGTTGTTCTTTATCTTGATAGCATAACAATATTTATATCTTTTTAAGAAAGATTTATTTTTAATTCATCATGAATTTACATCGTAAAAACAGATTTTGTTACTCTTCTTGAATATATGGTAATTTTGTGGCTTCACTATTTTGTTGTTTACTATTTCGGGAAAATTTTCAACTATTACCTCTCCAAGTGTTGCTTTGTCTTTATTTTCTATTCTCCATCCTCAATCTCCCATTAAAAATAAAGTAACCTCTCATTCTACTCTCTAGATCTATTTTGTTTCATGTTTCTTATCACTTTACCTCTTTTTTCAGCTCCTATATGATTTCCTCAGACCTATATTCAGGTTCATCAACATTTATTCCTGTGTTTCTAATCAGCTGTTTGGCCTGTCTCAAGAGTATGTACTTTATATTCATATGTTTTCATTTCTAAACTATTTGGTCCTTGTTTCTCTTGCTAATCTGCCTCTGTTTCAATCAAAGCATTTTGCATTACTGTTTAACTTCCTTCTTGTAGCACCTTAGCAATTATAAATTATAAAGTATCATTTATATTGTTCTATTAGTTCTAATTCTTGGAGAATTCATCCTGTTAGTGTGTCTGCTGAATCTATTTCATGGTATTTCTGTGGTTCAAAAGCTTTTGCAGAGATACCACCTCAAAGGATTTCCCCTTTGCTCCTGGATATCATTGTTGCTCTGGATCATGGAAATGTTCTTTCAGAGCCACTATGAATGTTTTTTTCCCTACTAAGTAGAAATGGCCTCTCTTTGATAATTTGGGAAGGGGGGTATTTTTTGAGTTTTGATATCATGCAGTACTGAGAAATCATTTTACTGACAAAGGTCCATAGAGTCAAAGCTATGGTTTTTCCCATAGTCATGTATGGATGTGAGAGTTGGACCATAAAGAAGGCTGAGTGCCAAAGAATCGAGGCTTTTGAACTGTGGTGCTGGACTGCAAGGAGATGATACCAGTCAATCCTAAAGGAAATCAACCCTGAATATTCATCAGAAGGACTACTGCTGAAACTGAAGCTGAAGCCCCAATACTCTGGCCACCTGATGGAAAGAGCCGACTCATTGGAAAAGACCCTGATGCTGGGAAAGAGTGAATACAAAAGGAGAAGGAGGTGGCAGAGGATGAGATGGTTAGATAGCATCACCAACTCAATGGACATAAATATGAGCAACCTCTGGGAGACAGTGAAAGACATGGAAGCCTAGAATACTGCAGTCGATGGGATTGCAAAGAATCAGACATGACTTAGAGACTGAACAACAACGCGATACTGAGACAAGAGAGAAGGAGGCAGGGCACAACCTTTAATTAAAAAAAAAAAAAAAGCAAAGCCATTGAGGATACAACAAAAACTGGTTATAACCTAATAGGCCCAAAATGGTGGAAGATTCTACTTCCCCTAGACCTTGAGCCTCATTATGTGCTTATTTTAGTATATTTGCATATGCTAAGTGGCACACCCACAGGCCCCATGACAGTACCCATAAAAGTCCAAAATGTGGGCAGTGGCCCAATTCCTGGAAACGCTCACTCTTTATTCAAGATAGTTAGAATGTTCTTCCCACTTGTTAGCTTATGAAATTACCCAGGACATAAAAACTAATCATCCGCAAAAGCCAGGGCCACTGTTACCTTGTGAGATGGTCCACATTCTGTCTATGAAATGTATATTTCTAAATAAACCTTCTTTCACTTTTCTATGGCTGCTCCTGACTTCTTTCCTGGGTGAAGCCAGGGACCCTCATTAGGTGGGCATCCCTGAAACTCACCCAAGACCTGAGACATGACCATTCTTGTGCACCCCACTTTACAACAGTGCTGTCATTTTTAGACCTATATCCATACAAAGCTTTGATTTTCATTTTAACAGGAGAATTTTTTCTACATGAAGCCATGAGTAGAAACAATCTGCTGTTTGGGGGTCAGTGGGTATTTTTTTTTTTTCTCTTGTCCTTTGTTCAAGGAGATTACATTCATTCCAGAGTACTGGCTTTGTGTGGGTCTCATTTCCAGGTCCATGCCTCCTCTACTGCTTTGGACCTAAAAGCAGTGATTGGAGTCCTTATCAGATCAGATAATCCTTGGCTTATTGTGGACTTTATCACTTGTTTAGTAGTTCCTTCCTTCTTGTTTAGTAGTAGATCCTTCTTTGTCACCTCTGGTAATTTTTCCTTTCTTTAGATTTTACCTCTTTCCACTTCTCTATCTTCTTTTCTCTTTCTCCACTGACACCTATCCATCCCCTCACTTTGTTCAAATTTTCTCTTACTGAAGGAAGGTTTCAGGACACAGAACAACAAGTTACCAGGCATCTCCTGACTCATTTTGATTAGACCATCTCCATACAATCGCAGTACTTATTCTTGTCTCTAGTCTGCCTTCTCCAACCCATAACAAACTGATTCAAATTTTCTCTTCCTGGACAATCCTCCTCCCAGGCAAACACCCTAAACTTATAGTTGTTATTTTCTCTGATCTAATTCATGAGAGCAAGACTACTATGGGAAGCTACATACAAAATGTGTTTTTAAATACAGAGAAGGCTGCATTCCTTAACTATGAAAATAATTACTAACAGGGCAATGCACTAAATAATCATAAGAAGAAGAAAAATTCTTTATAACCATAGTTGAGATTCTACATCAAAGTAATGATTAGCAATTACTGCCTCTTTGAAGACTGTACTTAAATTTTATTGCCTCTCAGGCAACTATTTGGAAATATCTGATTGATGATATGATAGGTCTTGTTTTTAAATCTTTAGAAAGTAACAGGCTTAATTTTTTGTTACCTGTTCTAAAAGAAAGCAATGATGGTCTACCTTATCTAATATACTTTGGTTTGTTATGTAGGTGGTTGGCTGATCTTTTGTTAACGTACAACTCATGTTTTCTTATGTGTTTTCTTTTCATTCAAGTTTAACTTCAGTTGCATTTTCTGAAAGTACATACAGCCCAGTTACAAGAAACGAAGCCTGGTTGTACTCTCAACTGAGACAATCAGCCTTATGTGGGAAAACGCTCACCAATAATGTAGTCAATAAGACATTTACATTCATTACAAAGAAAATGAGTTTGATTCTCCTTCTTGACATAAGCTGTTTCTCTTAGATTATGCTTCTCCAGAGCTGTAGATCTCTTTCAAGGATATTTTATCATTCTACACAGTAGTTTATATTCTTAGGATTCATTCATGATTCATCTGAAGGGTTGTACAGTTTTCTTCAAGAAATTTTTAAATAGTAGGGTGGTACATGTATGGAAGTAAAGTCTTTCTGATTTGTGAATTTAATATCTAACACTTAAAGTAATCTTAAGAGTCTGGTATAGGTTTTATAGCTATACAGATAAGAAACTTGCCCCAAATCACGCAATTGTTAAGTGATACAGTCAGGATTTGACCCAGACACTCTGCCTACTTATACCTTACATTTAACAACTGTGTTATACTATTTACTGGTCCCAGCTAGTCATTCCACCATGAGAGCAAATAGCAACTGTTCTATTAAACTTAATTTTGTTTCCAATTTGGAAATGCTGTAGTCTTTTTGAAATATTTTTAATGAGCAACTTATTGGTATGACTAATTGTATCTTTATTTTGCTATTATTTATTACTTCTAGAAGCACTGAAGAAAATCTACTACCTAAGTGATCTCTTTATTCACAAAAATAAGTTTGGCATTGGCCTTAACTTCTGACACTGAAGAAAATCTGATTAGAATACTTAGAAATGAATCCATGAACACAATTAAAAGAAAAAAAGAGATGGTTAATTGTGCTAATGCACATTCTTCTTTATAACCTGCAGATAGTCACAAGTAATTGAGGAAATAAATTCTATCTCCCCCAAAAATGAAATGTCTCACCACTATATTTTTGTTCCTCTTGCTGCAACTCTTAAGGGCTTTTTATTTATCTGACTATAGATGTTGGGAACTGATCAACCAGTATGAGAAACACCTCCAGGTAAATGGAAGGAAACGTTTTCATAAACTCCAAATCCTAATAATGAGTTTTATCACATACTCTATGATGAAAAACAAATAATGGTCACTATGCCAAATATATGTATTCAAAATGACCATCTCTAATGTTTGAAGGAAACAAACAGATCATTCTGTCATTTTGAGATTGCATCCAACTAACGCATTTCAGACTTTTTTGTTGACCATGATGGCTACTCCATTTCTTCTCTGTTCGTTTCCAAGGCAAAGCATTCAATACCATGGTAATCCAAGCCTATGCCCCAACCAGTAACACTGAAGAAGCTGAATGGTTCTATAAAGACCTACAAAACCTTTCAGAACTAACACCCAAAAAAGATGTCCTTTTCATTATAGGGGACTGGAATGCAAAAGCAGGAAGTCAAGAAACTCCTGGAGTAACAGGCAAATTTGGCCTTGGAGTACAGAATGAAGCAGGGCAAAGGCTAACAGAGTTTTGCCAAGGGAACGCACTGGTCATAGCAAACACCTTCTTCCAACAACACAAGAGAAAACTCTACACATGGACATCACCAGATGGTCAACACCGAAATCAGACTGATTATATTCTTTGCAGCCAAAGATGGAGAAGCTCTATACAATCAGCAAAAACAAGACCGGGAGCTGACTGTGGCTCAGATCATGAACTCCTTATTGCCAAATTCAGACTTAAATTGAAGAAAGTAGGGAAAACTACTAGACCATTCAGGTATGACCTAAATCAAATCCCTTATGATTATACAGTGGAAGTGAGAAATATATTTAAGGGACTATATCTGATAGACAGAGTGCCTGATGAACTATGGACGGAGGTTCCTGACATTGTACAGGAGACAGGGATTAAGACCATCCTCGTCGGAAAGTAATGCAAAAAACCAAAATGGCTGTCTGAGGAGACCTTAAAAATAGCTGTGAAAAGAAGAGAAGTGAAAAGCAAATGAGAAAAGGAAAGATATTTCCATCTGAATGCAGAGTTCCCAAGAACAGCCAGGAGCGATAAGAAAGCCTTCCTCAGCGATCAAAGCAAAGAAATAGAGGAAAACAATAGAATGGGAAACACTAGAGATCACTTCAAGAAAATTAGAGATAACAAGGGAACATTTCATGCAAAGATGGGCTCTAAAAAGGACAGAAATGGTATGGACCTAACAGAAGCAGAAGATATTAAGAAGAGGTGACAAGAATACACAGAAGAACAGTACAAAAAAGATCTTCATGACCAGATAATCATGATGGTGTGATCACTCATCTAGAGCCAGACATCCTGGAATGTGAAGTCAAGTGGGCCTTAGAAAGCATCACTACGAACAAAGCTAGTGGAGGTGATGAAATTCCAGTTGAGCTATTTCAAATCCTGAAAGATGATGCTGTGAAAGGGCTGCACTCAATATGCCAGCAAATTTGGAAAACTCAGCAGTGGCCACAGGACTGGAAAAGGTCAGTTTTCATTCCAATCCCAAAGAAAGGCAATACCAAAGAATGTTCAAACTATCGCACAATTGCACTCATCTCACATGCTAGTAAAGTAATGCTCAAAATTCTCCAAGCCAGGCTTCAGAAATACATGAACCACGAACTTCCAGGTGTTCAAGCTGGTTTTAGAAAAGGCAGAGGAACCAGAGATCAAATTGCCAACATTCACAGGATCATAGAAAAAACAAGAGAGTTCCAGAAAAACATCTATTTCTTCTTTATTGACTATGCCAAAGCCTTTGACTGTGTGGATCACAATAAACTGTGGGAAATTCTGAAAGAGATGGGAATACCAGACCACCTGACCTGTCTCTTGAGAAACCTGTATGCAAGTCAGGAAGCAACAGTTAGAACTGGACATGGACCAACAGACTGGTTCCAAATAGGAAAAGGAGTACATAAAGGATGTATATTGTCATCCTGCTTATTTAACTTATATGCAGAGTATATCATGAGAGATGCTGGGCTGGAAGAAGCACAAGCTGGAATCAAGATTGCCAGGCGAAAAAAGAAACATCAATAACCTCAGATATGCAGACGACACTACCCTTATGGCAGAAAGTGAAAAGGAACTAAATAGCCTCTTGATGAAAGTGAAAGAGGAGAGTGAAAAAGTTGGCTTAAAGCTCAACATTCAGAAAACTAAGATCATAGTATCTGGTCCCATCACTTCCTGGGAAATAGATGGGGAAACATGGAAACAGTGTCAGACTTTATTTTGGGGGGCTCCAAAATCAC